CTCCTCCTTGGTCCTCTCTTCTTTCTAGGTTTTCAGGACACCCCTCTCCATCCTGGTTCTCCTCCCTCTCTGACCACTCCTTCTCTGTCTCTTTTGCTGGCTCCTCCTCCACATCACGCCCTGTAATCATAGGTGTCCCCCAGGGTTCTGTCCTGGGCCCTCTGCTCTTCTTTTTCCATACTACTTCACTGGGTGATCTCATCAACTTCCATGGAATTCATTACCATCTCTAAGCTGATGATTCTCAAACTTACCCATCCTGCCCTAATCTTTCTGTTGACCTCCATTGCTGCATCTCCACCTGCCTTTCAGACATCTTGATCTGGATGTCCAGTAGACATCTTCAACTCACTATGTCCAAAACTGAGCTCATTATCTTTCCCCCAAAACTCCCCCCTACCACCACCCACTTTTGTATTACTGTGGAGGGCAACATCATCCTCCCAGTCCCTCAGGTTCTCAACCTAGGTGTCATCCTGAACTCTTCCCTCTCTATCAGCACCCCCCCCGCCCCGCGTCCAATATGTTGCCAAGGCCTATTAATTTTACCTTCATAACATTTCTTGAAAATGCCCCCTTCTCTCCTCTGATACTGCCACCCCTCTGGCACAGACCCTCATTACCTCATGCCTGGACTATAGTAATAGCCTGCTGGGGGGCTCTGCCTGCCACAAGTCTCTCTCCACTCCAACCCATCCTCCATCCATCCACCAAAGTGATTTTCCTAAAGCACAGGTCCGACAACGCCACATCCCTATCCCATTAATTTCTGTGGCTCCCTATGGCCTCCAGGATCAAATACCAAATGTTTTGTTTGGCATTCAAAGTCCTTCTTGACCTAGCCCCCTCCTCCCTTTCCCCGTCTTCTTCTACCTTCCTTCCCCACCACGTGATGCCAGTCCAGTGATGCCGGCTATTGGCTCTTGGCTATTCCACAAACAAGCACCTCCATCTCTGGGCTCTGGCCATTCTCTCCGGCCATCCCCCAGGCCTGGAACACTCTCCTTCCTCCTCTGTGACCACTGACCTCTCTGGCTTCTTTTAAATCCCATCTCCAATCTCGCCTTCTGCCGGAAGCCTTCCCCAGCCCTCTTCCTTCCAGGGCCTTCCCTCTGCTCAAGATTTCAGAGCTTGTTTGTACACATTGTCTCCCCGTTAGATCCTGAGTTCTTCGAGGGCAGGGACTGTCTTTCGCCTCTTTTGTGTCTCCAGGGCTTAGCACAGTGCCAGGCAGTATCAGGTGCTTAATAAATGTTTATTGACTGACTGACTGACTGAGCTTACCCCTGCATCCTCTCCCATTCAGTGACCTCAGCCCCCTGGATATTCTGCAAACAAGCCCCTCCATCTCTTGGCTCCCAGCGTTCTCTTTGGCTGTCCCCCAGTACTGGAATGTCCTCCCTCCTCATCTCTGCCTCCTGGCTTCCCTGGCTTCCTTCAAGCCCCAGCTGAAAGTCCCACCTTCTACAGGAAGCCTTTCCTGGTCCCCTTTAATGCATGTGCATTCCCTATGGTGAGCACCTCCAAGTTATCTTGTATAGAGCTTGTCCGTACATAGTTGTTTGTATATTCTCTCCCCCCATTAGATTGTGAGCCCCCTGAGAGCAGGGACAGTTTTTTGCCTTTCATGCCTCTCCAGCACTTAACACAGTGCCTGCACATAGTAAGTGTTTAATAAATGAATGTTTGTTGACTCACTGACTGGGGATAGAAAGATGACAGATGATAGGCAGCCCCTATCTTCTTGGTGCTGCCTGTCTCTGAGGGAGGGCAGAGCTCAGGCCTCCCCCTTCTTCCCTGCCCCCGTCGGCAGAATCAAAGGAAAGTAGAACAGGGGCACCCATAGTGGGGGGGGGCAACACACCCTTGAATGGGAGTAGCAGCTCAGAGCAGGCTTCCCAGAGCCCCATGAGCCTGAGCTGAGTCTTCTCAGAAGGCAAGGAAGTTGATGCCAGGCACCAAGGAGGAACATGGGTGGCAGCCTTGGACAGGGCCTTATGGGAATGCCTTTCCAGGGAGGCTGGAGAGGGCAGCATAGGATCAGAGAACAGGAAATGGCTTGTTTGGGCTGGATCACAAGAAATGCCAAGAGTAGCAATAGAAAGGAATCAGGCTAGAAAGGAAGCTTAGAGCCAGACCAGGGAGAGCCTCCCATCACAGGCCCCAAAGTTGGTGGTTGGTCCTAGAGGGCCACTGAAGGGTTGGGAGGCCAGAATGGCCGGCCATCCCTGGGCATTAGTTCTGCTTTTGTGCTTTTTTCTATGATAAGAATTTCAGCTGTCAGGTGAGGAAATGTTTCCATTGGAGTCAAAGATGGGACTGTTCTCCCTTCCTGCGGGTGGGGGTGGAGGACGATGAGAGGGCTATGGGAAAACCAGCAACCCAGCATGGTCTCTGCTCTCTCTGAGATGGGGATTTGTTTCTAAGATAAGGAAAGACTTCTTCCCCATTATAACGTCATAGATTTTACATTAACAGAGGCCATCGAATCCAACTATTTTAAAGAAGAGGAAACTGAAGCCTGGAGAGAAGGGAAGTGACTTGGCCAAGGCCACAATGGCTATTCGATTATTTAATTAATTAATTAATTAATTAATTAATTGGACTCCTTGCTTTTCAGCAAATCTGGAAGGACAGTGTCAGGTAAGAAACTGCTTTCTCTAAGCTGGGTGAGCAGCACTCAAATTCTCTGCCACGAACAACGGCGCCTCACCCATTTCCCACTGTTATGGTGACCTACCTCCCCATTCCTCAGCCCTGTTCCTCCTTCTGTACCAGTTCATGGTCAGATGGCACAAGACCAAGTGTCTCATACACGTGCACGTGCACACACATGCGCACACACACGCACACCATATACACACACACACGTACACGTACACACACCATATATACACACACACCGTATATACACACACACCATATACACACACACACACACCATATACACACACGCATACACACACACCATATACACATACACACACACACCATATACACACACACACACACACACACACACACACACGTTCATGCGCCATTGGAGAATGGGAAATACTCCCAGTCCAAAAACCTTTCTGTCAGTTTTCCAATCAGAGCTGGGGGGAATTTCCAGACTTCTGCTCTGGGGGTAGACTAGACAAATGTTTTTCTGACTGAGAGGGTTAAATACTTAAAGAATCCTGGAGATACTTTTTCTCTGAGAGATGGCTTTCCATATGGCCTCCCCTGGGAGATAGGCTAGAAGAAAGGAAAGAGGGACTCTCAGGAGATGGAAGATCTTTCCCAAGCTCCCTTGTTTCAGAGGAGTTCTTTATGGAATTGAAAAGCCAAGTCATTCCTGAGGTTCCTGGACATGGAGCTCTTGGTGTTCTCAAGACCCCAAAAGGGTCCAGAAGCAGTCCCTGAGAAGGGATTAGGAGGGACCTCGGCCATTCTGTACAGGAACTTCCGAGAGCTGTTGATAACCTAATTAATGAATTAAGGTGCGCCATGCTGGTTTAAGTAAGGCAACCTATAACTAGTTGAGTAGAGTGTAGGCTGGTTCTGAGAGCCATCATTCATCATTCATCAATGAAAGAGTTTCCCATCCTGCCCAAGGTCTAAAGATATTCTCGTCCCAACCCCATAGCTCCCCCCACATAGAGCTAGAAGCCCAGGTTGAGAATCCAGGTATTTGGGCAGCTAGGTGGCACAGTGGATAGAGCTCCGACCTTGGAGTCAGGAGGACCTGAGTTCAAATCCAGTCTCAGACACTTGACACCTACTAGCTGTGTGACCCTAGGCAAGTCACTTAACCCTCAATTGCCTCACCAAAAAGAAAAAAAAAATCCAGGTCCAGCTGCCTACCACCTAGGTGCCCTTGGCCAAGTCACCTCCTCTTTGGGATCCCTCCTACCACTAAAATCCCATTACCTTAAGGAGGAGAAAAGTCTGTGAACAATAAAAACACACAGGGAATCTTCCTGGAAGGAAGAGGAAGGGAACAAGCATTTATCAAGCACCTGCTCTGTGCCAGGCACTTTGTAATTAGGATCTCACAACAACCCTGGCAGACAGGTGTTATTATTATCCCCATTTCACAGAGGAGGAACCTGAGGCAAACAGAAGTGAAGTGACTTGCCCAGGGTCACACTGCTAGTAGCCTTTGGCCAGATTTGAACTCGTTTTCTTGACTCTATCCACTCCCTATGCTACCTAACTGCCTATGAGGAGTGGCCTTACCTTTTTTCCTTACATTTAGAAGGTTAAGGAATGCAAATGAAGGTTTGAAATCTCTCCCCAACCTTACTCAGAAGGCAAAAGAAAGATCTTTCCATTTGGAGGGAATGGTCCTGCTTTCAAATTCTGGTTTTACCACGTACTACCTATGTTCTTTGGGGCAAGTCATTCACCTCCCTGGGCCTCAGTTTCCTCATCTGTAAAATGAGGTGGATGGGGAGGGAATTTGACTCTGAGGTCCCTTCCAAAACTAGAGCCAAGCTCCATGAACCTTGCCCCAGGACGAAGGAGAGACAGACTTCCTCTGGTTGCCTGAGGCTTTAAGGAAAGGGTGAAGGGCAATTAGCCCAGGAGTGGGTGGGATCTCCAAGGCGCTTCCTCCAAGTTCCAGCGCAAGGAGAATCAGAGAAAAGAGACAGCCAGCTACAGTCTGCCAGGTATGGGAGCTGCACTTGAAGAGGGGGTGACTTGGTGTCTGCAGGGCGCACGGTGGGGCGTCCAGGACCTGAGCTAAGGGAAGCCTTCCCAAAGAGGCCCCTGTCTGGCTTGGCAGACGTCTCCTAGACCAGAGGGTTCCATTCTTTGAGTCCTCCAGAGGCAGGCAGGAGGCTCCCGGGGTTCTGCAGCAGCGGGAGGGGGTCCCCCTCTTTACAGCTTCTGCTAGTTAAAGAAGCATTTTGGCAGCCTCATCAACTGAGGCAAAGACAAAGCCGGCTCAGCTGGGGTAAGGCCGAGGTCGTAGGGGAAAGAAGTGGATAAATACACAAGTCACAGCCACATTTACTGTAAAATCCTGTTTAATGTGTAACATTGCAGGCCCAGGCCCGGGCTTCTAGAGTCAAAGGTAGTGCTGACCAATCCCCACCCCCAGCTGATCAGATGGAATCAGAGCCTTGTTCTTTCCAGCCACCCAAGCCTTTCCCAGGTGCCAGCAACAGCCCCCACCCCACTGGCAGGATCCCCAAATGTTGGCAGGGTTAAGGTTAGTGTCATCAGTGGAAGTGTTGGCAAAGCCCCCCCTCCCCCAGAGTACCCAGTGGTCCCAGGGAGAGGAGCAGGAATTAGGAAGGGGGAGAAACACCCTCCTTTGCTCCCTTAAGCTTGGGGAGGAGGGGGCAAGATCTGTCCCCCACCCCCACCCCACTCCTCACCCCCACCTGCCTTCTCCTTCCCTACCCCCACTCAGAGGGCAACGGGTGGGTGCTTGGGCTATGGCCGGCCTGGCGGGCTGAGGGGACTAAGAGGGACTGAAGGCTAGGGTTGGCGGTGGGTGTGGCGCCGGCTGTGCCCTCAACAGGCAGAACAGCGGTCACCCTTCTCGGCCAGGCCAGCCCCGCTGCCAGGGCTGCGCCGCAGGATGTCTTTGAGGGAGCCGTCCTGGTCACTCAGCAGCTTGTTGATTTCATTCTGTTTGGACTCGTGGGACAGTCGGTGGCCGAATCCAGAGCCCTTGCGCGAGGAGGGGTTGGAGCGGCGCTGGGCACGCCGGGCACAGGCCCGGATGATGAGGTACACCACCTCAGCCACGTTGAGCACGATGCAGATCCCTGAGGCAGCGAGCATGAAGACAGTGAAGACGGTCTTCTCGGTGGGCCGGGATACGAAGCAGTCTACCACGTTGGGGCAAGGGTAGCTGTCGCACTTGACCAGACGTACCATGGCATAGCCCGGGTAGAGCAGGTAGAAGACATACATGAAGACGGCCTCGAAGAGCAGGCGGAAGAGCACGCTGATGACATAGGTCCACCACAGCGTGCCCGAGATGTGCACCTTGTGCCTTTTGACCTCTTCCAGGTGCAGCGGGTCCCCATGGCCCTCCAGCCGCAGCAGCTTCTTCTCCACGTGCTGCTGGTGGGCCACGTGCATGGCCACGAGCAGGGCTGGTGTGGACACCAGGATGAGCTGCAGGGACCACAGGCGCACATGGGAAATAGGGAAGAAGTGGTCGTAGCACACACTGTTACAGCCTGGCTGCAGGGTGTTGCAGATGAAGGAGGACTTCTCGTCGCCCCACACGCTCTCGGCAGCCACCACCAGCACCATGATGCGGAAGATGAAGATGACAGAGAGCCAGACGCGCCCAATGGCCGTGGAGTGCCGGTTCACGCCGCTGAGTAAGGCGTAAAGGCCTGTCCAGTTCATTTTGCCTCACTTGCACCTGGAAAGACAGCAGCCGCAGTGGGGCTGTGAGCCCTGCCCCTCTCCCCCCACTCCCACAACAGCCTGAGCAAGTCACTTCCCCTCTCTGGGTTGCCTCAGTTTCCTCCTCTGCCAAAAAAAGGAGGAAGTTGGGTTAAGTGACCTTGGATTAAGAATCCTTGACGGTTCTACCACCTCATGTCTGCCCTCTTCAAGGAGTCAGAGGCTGTCTGGAAAAGCGCGGTTCCCCCAGGCCTTCTCACCATCTCATCTCCTTCCCCTCGTTCCCCTTGTCCCCCCTTCCTCTCTCCCCTTCCCGGTTTCTGATGTCTACTTAGTTCTCTAGGCTCCATCCCCCCAGGGCAGCCCCTCTCCCTCAGATGCCACTCCCCCTTTCCCACCAGGTCTCTCATCCCCATCCACACCACATATTACCTTGGGGAGTGCCTATCCCGGAGGCCACCCAGACAGGTCCCCTATGGTTTCATACCCGTGCTGGGGGAGTGATCCCTGGGTCCGCGCCTGCGTCCCAATTCCTCACTGCCCGGTGCTCGGGAGTCATATGCTGCCTTATACCCAGCATGTACACAATAGGAGCTTTGTGGGGCTCTGAACAACGCCCTTTAGAATTCAGATCAAACGCCCTGACTTCCGCCCACCCTGGACACAGAGCACTTGTGTCCCAGCGCCGGACACCCAGCCTGCACCCACCTGTTCTGTGCCCGCCTGGTCCATCCCCGCACCCGCCATGAAGCCAGAAGAATGGGAGGGGGGGGAGGGAAGGGAGAAGCAGAAGACCTTGGGGCAGAGACAGAGGCTGGGTGGGGGTCAGGAACCCCCTACTCCCATCACCAGGATTCCTCAGGCTCTCTCTCTTGGTCCCCAGTGGCAGCCTTAAGCAACCCTGAATTTCCCCTAGGCAGGGCAAAGTCGGGTCTTCTCCCTTTCTGATAGATCACTGGGGTCCCCAAAGCTCTCTTTCTTTCCCTACTTCTCTCAAGGAAGCTAAGAGAAGATCCCCATGGCCCCATACTGAGCCTTTAGGATCACAGCGCCACAGATGTGGAAAGAACTCAGAAGGGCAGAGGGCAAAAAAAGGCAACCTGGTGGTCTCTGGTGGTCTCTCCTGCCCTCTCCCCCCCGCCCCAAGCTTCTGGAGATGAGCAGTCTCTTGGGTAGCTTGGGAACACCCAGCCTGGCTTCCCAGTCAGCTTGTAGATCTGAAACATCTGCCCTAGATAAAAGAACAGCCTGTTCTGTCCCTACCTGTCTGTTGCAACCTCAGGTCAGTCTCTGGAGGGCACAGACTCCCCCAGGCCCCTGACATAAGCTCTGTTCATCCCCTCCCTTTACTGTTAGTGTGAGTCAGCAGCTGAGGACTCTGGGTAAGCCAGAAATCAGGGTGAGGGGCCACTAGAAAATAAACTTCCCCCCACCCCCATCAGGCTCTCGCTAGCGACCTGTGCCCGGTTCTGGTCTCCACAATCAGAGAAGGATTCGAGGAGAGGCCCCAGAGCCCTGGGGAAAGAAGTTAGAGTCATTTAGCCTAAGAGAGCGAGCTCAGAGGACCTGAGCCCGAACTGCTTTCTGGCTCCAACTGTCACTTCCAAGCTGTGTTCAATATTACTTAGACACCATAAAGAACTGAGCTCAGAGGCAGCTTCAAGTCCTGTCTCTAGTACATCCTGGCTCTATGACCCTGGACAAGACAACTCTCAACACCGCCGCCCCCCACCCCAGGTTCAGACAAAAAAATGAGCGGTCCCAACCAAACAATACACATCACCTAACTTGACTACCAGGCAAGAAATTTGGAGTCTCCACTGCTCCATAAATCATTTTCTAATCTAGTATGAGTCTTTTTTTTTTTTTTAATTTACATTATGGGCCCCCTTGAAGGCATTGTGGTATAGTCAGTAAAGGGTGGCCTTGGCTTCGGAATCTCGAGGCTCAAATTCTGCCTCAGACATACACTAGTTGTGTGACCCTAGGCAAGTCACAAGCCCTCAAGAGGAGCTAAAAGTCACAGCAGGACATAAGTCACAGATGAATCGCTTTTCTGCATTAGTGGAGGGAATTTCCACATTGAGTTCTCCCCATACAGATGGAACTCACAGGTACAGACCTCCCTTACACCATCATCGTTGTCGTCGTCGTCATCATCGTTAGTACAATCTGTCTAGTATGAATGAAGTCTGAACATATACTTCTCAATCACGTGTGTGCTTTCCGCCTTGCTAACAGAAATTGGCCCAACCTTTTTGGCATCACAGTTGGGAAGGGGGGGTTTGGGAGAGAGAGCAGGCTGTCATCTTGTTGGATCCCGTGTTCCATTCAGAGTCAGAGGACCCCAGTCATAAAGCAAGAAGGAGGAAAGTGAGGCCCAGAGTGGAGCAGAGTCAGCAGCAGAGCTGGGAATCCCTAGTTTTGTGTTTGAGGATGTAAGTGTCTCAGCATGTGGCTTTTCCTATTCGCCTAATTGTCTTGCCGGGGGACATTCGAGAGTCCTTTAAGCTTTGCAAAACACTTTGATTCTCACAACAACCCAGAGGTAGATGCTGTTATTATCCCCATTTTACCGATAAGGAAAATGAGGTAGACAAAAGGGAAATGACTTGCCCAGGATCACACAACTGGTAAATGTCTGAGACAGGATTGGAACTCAAGTCTTCTTGACTCTAGGTCCAATGCTCTATTCACTGGGCCACCTAGCTGCCTCGATTGTGGACTGCCTTTCCCTCTCTAAGACATGGTTGGTGGCTTCCCTTTCCCTGAAGGCCTTCAAGCAAAGAGACCCTTGTTCAGGCACAAAGTATGGGTTAATAGCCACCGAAATCCCTTCTAAATCTGAGATTCTGTGATTTTGCAAATGTCTCTTCCCAATCTGGGTCGACTCTGCTGCCCCTCTGTAAAATGAGAAAGTGGCTCTGGATAATTGCTGAGGTCCTGACAGTCTCTGATCCTCTGACATTAAGGTCATGACGATCATAGCTGGTCAACTGCCGAGCAGAGATTTGGGGCACAAAGGTCTTCCTAGGAGCCCTCACTGCTGGCCAAGACAATTGGACCGTGACTTCCTGGGAGCACGGGTGGCAGTAATGGAATTAATCAGTCAAGTGTCTTGAGCACCTACTAGGTGCTCAGCGATGGGGCAGGCGCAAGAACTTCCTCACAGGAGGTGAGGGTGGGGTGAGCTGGGATCGCTTCAGAGGCAGATGATCAAGGAAGGTCCAGAAATATCCTTGCTTAGAAGCCTTTAGGAAAAGGGAGGAGACTCATTTGACTTCACTCTTCTGATCTCATCTCGGATCCCTCCATCGCTTCCCCCCACCCCCATTCTATCAAGTGGCAGCCTTTACCCTGTGCCCCTGGACTTACCTTTCTCCCTGATTTTACCTGCCTTTCTTTCATCTCTCTATCCCAGAGGGAAGTAAAGTCAGACCTGTCTTTTGCCTCTGGGACCTGCAGCTAAGGAGCCCCCTTCAGTGATCCTCTGGGAGGTGTCTGATGCCACCTCCCTTCCTCAGGCTGTGCTTTATTTCCCTCAGGTCTTGGGGTGCAGAAGGCTATGCCCTTTGTCTAAGATGCCAGTGACTCCTGTCCAGGCCTCTAAGGGACTCTAGTTGAGCCTGGCTGGCCTCTCAGGATCAGCTACCTTTGCAACCACCACCACCAGCTCTTGAACTTTTCTTTTGGGAGCCTGACAACTTCCAAGCCTTCGGGGGGGGGGGGGGCACTTGGCTTTGCAATCCAGACTGATGGAGTGACATTTGTTTAAAGTCCAGCTATCGATCTGTTTTTGTGTGGCTTCCAGCAGGGGGAAAGGGGACAAGAGAAAAACCAGCACATTTGGGCTGTCGCTGGAGGGATGCAATGAGACCCCTCCCCCCAGCTCTGGCCCCAGCTGGCAATCAAAGGTTTGGGATTCTACAGCTGGAGCAGAAGGGCCACCTTTAGGGCCCCCTGGGAGGCACTGAAAACCTAGTTGAATTACAACATGCCTACCTAGAGCCAAAAAACTGTGTAGCCCGTTGCCTTCCCCAATGTCCTGAGAGTCAGAGAATGGGGGGAAGGGGGACCTTATTTGACAGAAGAGCAAACAGAGATGCAGAGAAGGGAGTGGTCTGGCTCCAGTTGACCCAGCTAGTCAGTATCAAGAACTGGGACGCAGGCCTTACTTGTCTCCTGGCTTTTCCTCTGGCCCTGGTTGTCCCATACAAACACTCAACACAAACCATTCAATCTGTGCTGTGTATGAAGGGAAGGGCTGCTGGAGGGGGCAGAGGGCAGTTCATTTGTGCTCCCCTTCGGCTTAGGGCTCACTGACTCCATTTCCTCCCCCCTTTCCCTGCCCTTATGGCATCTCTAGGGGCATTAATTCCTCACCATGGGAAGAGCCACCACTAGCAATAAAGGGAAATTTGCCCTCAAATCAACCCCGAAGGGGAAAACGGATACCGGCTTTGTGAAAAAAGAGACTCTGGGATTCTCAGAGGGCTGCTGAGAAGCTGCTGGTGGGGGAGGGGCAAGGTGGGACCAACCAGCTCATATGGCATGTGGCTGCTGGAGAGAAGAAAGTGCAACAACCTGGTTTCTTTTTTCTTTTCTTTTTTTTTTTTAGCCAGATTTCTTTTTAATTTATCTAATTATTCTTGCTAATTCCATTTTATGCTACCGAAGGAATGACAGTGTTGTCAAACTATGAGTGCCACACATTTTAAAATGTCATAATCTTTTAAAATGGTCATTTGAAAATTTTGAGTCCTTTAAATTTTGCTGCCCTGGAGCAAAGCTCGAATTACCCCGCCCTGGTTATGGCTATGTCCACAAACTCTACACAGGGAAAGCTGAGGACTGCCTTTCTCTTTCCCTCTGCACATCTCCTTCCCTGTTCCTCAGCCCTGACATGGTGAAGGCGAAGGTGTTGCCCCTTTACCCCTTGTCCCTGCCATGTTGAGAAATAATTCAGTTGCTAATGCCTCACCGATTAGACGCCTCCCTCTTCTCCAACCCTCTCCTCCCAACTGAGGCGTTCTATTGAATCGCTGAAATCAGGATTTCTCTCTTTGACCTCCTCTAGCAAAACCCTTAGTCAAGCCCAGTTTCCCCAACCCCCTCATGTGGCGTTTCCCAAGGTTCTTTGCCTTACCTCCTGTTTGGACCCCAGAGCCCTGAGCCCAGAGCCTCTCTGGTACACACTAGTCTGGGGCTTCCCCAGGCTTCAGTTCTATTCCAGCAGACAAACCCTGAGTGTGTATTGGGCCTTAGCCCCACAGAGCCAAAGGAAGCCCAGCTCCTGCTCTCACAGAATTCGCAGTTTGATAGGAGGAAATAACACCCTTGCTCATTTTCCTGACTGATCTCATCTCCTTTGCTTCTGTGGTCCCCGGATCTCAAAGGTCCCTGCTTTCTCCTGTGTCTCTGCCAGCTCCTGGAACACCACTGGGCAAGCCTCAGCTCTTTCGAACTCCAAGGCCCAAACTGCCTGTCCAAGTTTGGCCTGAACCTCCTTGGCTCCCACCTCTCCCCGTCCCCACCCAAAAAACCCCATCTCCCACCCCCATTCCAGGCTCTCCAAGGAGCCTTCCCTACCCCCACCCCTCCCATGCAGGCTAGCTGCCTTGTTTGCCTTGGAAGCCAGCAGGGCAGGTAAATAGCCCCTGGCAGCTCCCAGCTGTCACACTGAGCCCAAGACCAGGAGAAACCTGCTCCGGTGGGCGAAGAGAAGGGGCCAGGCTGAGTCCAAGGAGCCTTTAGTTTGGTGGGATGGGGGTGGGCAAGTTTCAACGGATGGACCGTCTGTGGCTGGGGAAGGGGGATGAGATTAAGGGGCCTGAGAGGAGGCAGGCCAGGGGAGCCCAGAGCCTGGCAGGGGACTCACCTCACTTCTATGTAAAGGAAGAGATCCGGTTGGCTTGACCCTGGGGCCAAGAGCCGGGGGGGGGGGGGGGGGGGGGGGGCGGCTGCTCCCGCCCCCTCCCCCCCTACCCACATAGTTTCCCAACCACCTTCACCCCTTCCCCACCCTCCTCACCTCCCTGGCACACTGACACAGGGCTGC